TGTTTTGGTCGTGATGCGGAGCGAAGCGTTTAGCCCTATCAAAGTGTGTCCCAAAGGGAGGGACCAAGCGGGCGAAAGTCTGGCAAGCCTGCCCTCTTCCCTTCCCATCCCGAGCACGAGCCTACTTGATTGTAGCATAGCGTCCAGAAAATGCGCGAGCATGACTATTGTCCAATTCGGCGCTCAAATCACGAATGTGGTCAGATGAGACTCGAGTGACGAGTAAGGGCGATTGCACCTCGCAATCGCAGACCTCAACCAAGTCGACCCAAGCTTGCAAGCTTGCACCCTTCGACTTTCTGCATTGTGGTTGCTTTGCATCATGTTCCGAAAATTCCGACTCATGACTCGTGCGGCATGGCATGTGCGCTTGCTTCCTCGACGACTTCTCAAAAAAAAAGACGAGCGAAGGGACGTTCGTGGGCAAATCGAGCTTGTCGCATATCATTGTGAGAGTAGAGGGTGCGTTGGTACATGCTTTTGAGAACGAGTGTCTGTGCAGGACAGCCAAACACCGTGTGCGTGACATGAGTCTGTATAGATCTATCCGAGTGGACGATAGACCATAGGTGAAAGCTTGCTTCAAGTTGTACAAGCTTTTCTCCGAGGTACGATGAGCTTGGTGATGATCGCTTGCGCGACGACCAGCCTGAAGGGGATCTTCCAGGGCATTTAGACCTTGACTGTGGACCAAGACGAATCGTGTCAGTAGGTCGTGTGGAACGTGTGGCGCAACATTGCTCCGCCTCGAAGCATCGTATCGACACTCACAACCACGGCTCTTTCTTCGTCCACGGGCCTGCTCGAACTTGCGACCAGTGGAGCGCACGTAAGGCTTCTTGTGCTTGTGAGGGCCCATGCCGAAGTGCTTGACGGCCTCACGAGCGTTCTTGGGGCCACGCAGCAAAACGGTGTTGGATCCCTTGGGAGAGCGAAGGGCCAGTTGGTCCAGTGTGAGCGCCTCACCACCCGCAGCCTCGATGCGTGCCTTGGCGGTGCGCGTGAAGCGCAGAGCAGCAATGGACAGCTTGGGCAGGTCCAGAAGACGGTTGTCGTCGGTGATGGTTCCCACCACTACTACAGTCTTGGGTGCCTCGCCGGACTTGGAAACGCCTCCCTGGTTGCGAGAAAGGTACACCACCCTAGAGACGGAAACTGGAGGACGGTTGATCTTGGACATAAAAAGCCGACGCAGAACAACCTTGTTGAAGCGAGAGTCGGTGCGGCGAGCAAGGAAGCGGTAGAGCTGAGAAAGAATTCGAAGCAAGGGCGTGTGAGCACGCGAGGTGGCAATGCAATGCATGCCATGTGGCCAGCGTTGCCTTCAATGTCCAGCTCGTGCGCAGGGATTCGCTGGTCCCCCAGCCTTTCGTGCTCAATAGCCAAATGCAACTGGACACCTGCTGTGCTGCCAGCCCTCTAATCATCTTCAAGCCCTCTGCTCATGTCTTCCCTCCTCTTCTGCCGAACCCATCGACCTCCAAATATCGAACACTCACCTTCACCAAGAGGAGGAGGTAGGGGTCCTCGCTCTTGGGCGCAGTGCGGCGCCCAGTCTTGACGTGGTGCTTGGCGATGTCGATACCCTGCGCAGGAAAGGAGCAATGGGGCGTCAGAGGTATGTTCTGAATCCCGATCGCTGCCTGTGCTCGAACACGTGCTCTCCAGTAACAACAGCTCCCGGCGCTCATCCGGTGTGTATCACGGACCCTCAAGACTGCGCGCTGCATCTCCGGCGCAATTCAAGCCTATCATTGTCCGTCAGAAGGCATACCCAGCTGGGCGTAGAGCGGCTCTAGTAGCTCTAGCAAGGCATGACTATCCTCGATGCCTAGGCGCTCATAGCTGATCTCCACGAAGCCTGCCCCGAAGCGCCATCTCAGGGCTTCGCTTGTCCCCTCGATATCCTCCATCAACCCGACTTTCCGGGCTTCGCGCCGACGCCAGTCTAATGCCAGGCTATGTCGTTGAGAAATTGAGGAGAGGGAGAGCATAAAAGCGTACTAACCATTTTGGCGAAGTTGCTGTGTGTCGGATGGGTGAGCGAGAAGAGGATGGGAAATGCCGGGCAGCAGCTATGGTCACTTTCTCCAGGGCCGTAGCATCTCCCTTGATTTCGTTCCAGCTGCTGCATGAACCAGAGCAAGGGCCGCGCTGCGGTGATGCCACGTGT